TGGAAATTTCTGAACAATTGTGTTGTCACGTGTTTTGGTGTAGGACAACAAACATTTGTTCTGAAACTCTTCTGTAGCTTTGCTGATGATACCCTTATCCCCATCAGGTAGATCTTCATAATGCAGCATAAGGATGTCGTTGTTGTTGTGAACCGCCATGACGATTGTGGTGTTCCACAGGGCCTGCCAGAAACATGTGTTGACATAGAATTTTTGTCCCACGCCGAGGACACACGTAGCAAGCCGGAAGGATCTGCTCGATGGAGCTATAGATCCGCCTAGCTTCAGCGCAGGGATGGTTGATCCTGCGCACTCCTCCCGAGACGTGGCAGTCAATTTGACCCTGTAATTGACAAGGAGAGAAAGTTTATTAGTAATTAAGGGCGGAACATGCTGGTGTTGCCAGATAGTCCCGAATGTGCGGCTCTAAGAGCCGATATGAAAGAAGATCGACTAAATAGTCGATTCCAGCATATTCGCAAGAATAAATCGGTTAAAGCTCATTGGGTTATGTAAGAAGAATCGGTTATCATTTAGGATAAATGTCGTTATTTGAACAAATATTAATCAATGGCAATAAGATGTCAACAATGAATGGTTTATGTCAAGCCAATGATTACAGGTAACCGAACCCCTTTTTATATAAAGAAACAATTCAACACCACTGTTTAATAAAGGTAAATCTAATGAACATGTTAGATCTCATCTATTGCTATGACCAGTGGGGCATGAGGCAGAATCATGCAAGCCATAGAAATAACAATAAACTCGATGACCCTAACTCATTACTAATATCAGTGGAGCATGCGGCAGAATCATGCATACCGTAATACAATAATAAGATCATGGGGCTAACATATCTTTACTTCAACGGTCTCGTGATGCGAAATGTTTGTGAAAGCACTCGATATCGGCTAAAACAGCCGATTCAGACATAGTGCACAGTTAAAGTCATGCCTTATCAGGAATAGATCTATCAAATAATGATCCCCACTCCATGGTGCTAACAATGGGGTGTGAGGCAAAATCACACAGGTCGTGATAACGGGCCATGGAACGGTTCTCGCTAGCCAATTAATCTACTCAAGACGCAACATGCTTTAACCGCACGCTATGCACGATCAAGATTGACGTAAAACAGCCGATAAAACATAACTCATCATTTAACGTGTAGATTAGATCAGTTTCAGATTAACAAATGATGGGCTAAACAAGATATAAGGCCGATCTAGATCAATCGCAATCGGGCAGAGTGATATTGCTGTAATTTAGATAAATAATGAAAACAATAAGCAATATCGGTAACTTAATGAATCTACCAAAGACTGTCATTCTAAGGTAGAGCCGATAACTTGACCTTGATCTAGTTCATGCAGTGGGGGTCGACCGGATCGATGTAGCCATACTTGAACTAGGCAAGAATCGATAACTAACTTATACCAGAGTCGCAGTGGAGGTCGACCGGATCGATGCAGCCGTACGAATAGAGGTATAAGCCATGACGGTACTTACAACAAGCAGTGGAGGTCGACCAGATCGATGCAGCCGTACTTGCTGAAGAACTCGTTGAGATCTACTCTACTCCTACTCCTAAGGGGTGGCCGGAGCCGAAAAAAGTAAATAACTTGTATATTGGATTGATTGTTGTCTTTTACAATAACCGGGCTTTGATATTTATACCCGGGACCTGCGCATGACTCCTGTCTAAGCACGACTCATCATAATTTTTGACCCTAGAGAAAACATTCCTAATTTAAGATAACTTGGACTCTAATCTTTTCATTTTTGTAGAGTCCAACATATCTCGTCCTGGCGTCGATCATAGCCTTTGTCGTTATTTGCTGGCGCTATCTGAAGAAAGCCGATTCCAGTTTTACATACGAATCAGCTGGTTCCGATCTGCACGCAACTGATTCCTTGATGACATGATCTTGGGAGCTTTCGAGTCTCTGTGACTCTTTTTTCAAATTTTGGTGTAAACACGATGACATCAGTGTGTAATAAAAGAGAATGAGCATCACAACATAGCAGAGCACATTCACAAACACAACAAAAAGTAAGAATTTTACCTTTAACCAGAAAGCCAATTCATACCACTTTGTTATGGGTTGTAGTGATGATGAAGTATTTTTTGACTACTACACAAATCGCAGAAGATTATTTTAACCTGTGTCAAACAAATAAAAATAGTGCACTATGCATAAGTTGTACTGATGAACAACCTATACAATATAAAGGCAATACTGATGAACAGCTTATCATGTTATTGATAAAAAAATAAAGTAACACTTATCTTAATCGAGACAACAGTGAAGCACCAATTCTAATAACAGCTATTTAGTTGTATGTCAAATTAGTAATGCATTTGTTAGATGCCTTCAATTTGCCGCTCAACATACATCCACATAAAACCAGTCCAATGTATGAATGAATCAAAGTACAACCCCCCTAATCTACCAATGAAACAAGCCCCGAGATGGCACCACTGCTCTCTCTGCCCTTCCAGAACCATTGCTATCCCTTTCCTCCAAGAACCACTAAGTTACTCCCTGCATTAATCATGTGTGCTATGAATGAAACAAAAAAAACAGATCTATATTTTTTTCTCTATAAACTAACAAGGTTACTGGTGTGCTACTGCTGATAGCTAGGTTGCCTGCCATAGTTTGCTACAGGGTGGGTGCGCCCCTCATTCTCAACACATGGAGTATTTTAAGAAAATACATAGACCAGCACCTGGCTTTCTATATCACAGCATAGATCGAGTTTTTTTATTTTAAGAAACAACAAATCTCCCTTAGGAAAATCAAATCTACCACAACATAGATCTAGTTTTGTGGAAAAGGGATTGGTCAAGAAGAGGGTTAGGAGGAATAGAGACTTACCACAGAACCTGGAAGTTGTAGTTCAATACGAGATGCAGATGGTTGTCGCAGAGGCGTCGTGCTGTCCTCCACTACCTTGGCCGCCTTCGCGTCAGCGGCGGCCGACGCCGGGGGCCTCCGCAGCGGCTTCAGCTCAGTAGAGGGCGCTAGAGGCGGCGCCTCCAAATCCAGATGGAGGAAGTGGTGGCTGGTGGCTGGTGCTGCAGCCCCATGGATCTTGGAGAGGGATAAACGAACTAGCTGCTTGGTGAATGGCCTCACGGGGGATGCGGAATATGTGGCGGCCGGAGGGAAAGGGAGTACGGCGGCCGAAGGGAAAGGGAGGAGACCGAGAGCAGGGACGGAGTTTTGGAAACCGTTTCGGTATGCTGGGTGGTCTCGTGGGGATGGGGTTGGGGATTTATTTTTAATTTATTTTTTTAGGGGTTAGGACTATGGTATGCACGACTATTATGCGCGCCAACTGAAAATCTTGCGCGCCCACTGAAAATATTGCGCGCCAAACAATTAACCTGTGGATACACCGACAGAATAATGTGTCAGCACACAGAAAAAATTCTTTATCATCCTAAGATGACTATATACCGATAGGAAAATATGTATTTTTCTGTGAGGAAGGCGACCCGACAGAGTAATTATATTTTCTCTGTGAGCCTTTCGAGACCCGTCAGGAAAAATAAACGGCACACAGGAATAAAGTAGTTTCTAGTAGTGTCTGTGTGTTGCTTGAGCTTGTGAACAGGTTACTAGATGGAGCCAGCAACTTGATTTGAGAAGCGACATCAAACGGAGAAAGTTGGGGGCTGATCTGCTGTGCCCGTGTATACCGGAACCGGACGTGTCCAGTATTTCCACCCTGTGCTGATTTTATTCATTCTCAGTTCTAATCTTTGTGTTGCAGGGTTAAGTTCCTAGATATATTTTATATACCTTATGTACTCCGTTGGCTAACTCGTGAGGGGTTTATTTATCTGACTTGGCGTTTCCAAGCGAAACTTCAACACTAATCGTTTATGCATTTTAAAGGATTAAATTTTTAGAAACGCCTATTCACCCTTCTCTAGGTGACATCTTCGGTCTTTTCACTCGGGCACTGTAGCTGTTTAAACATTATACCGTTAGTTGTACTCACATTGAATTTAGCTTTTTCAGCCCGTTATAGCTCGCCATAGTATTGTTTTAGCCTGAGGACAACCCTACCGCTAAATGGCTATTGCCCGCTATTTTAAACCATGGTTTATTTCGAACGCTCTACTGAGTACGGACGACGTTACCCTTCCTCTCGATCACACCATGCCAGCTGGGCACTATAAACCTACAAGCTCTGTGTTGGCAACGACGTACATACGTTATTTGAAGCTGGAAGATGAATTAATAGTCTTTGTTTATTTACAGATGTCGGCGGTAGATGGTTGCAGTTGCACGTTACAACCCAGCGACTGGCCGGGATACGTATAGGAATTCAAGACAAAAATATAATGTATATACTACTACTAAAACGTACACAGATCAGCAACAACATACACGGTATCGTATAAGCTTCCAAGATATGTCACATGGGGGGAGGAGCAAAGACGAAGCTATATATATACCCCCCATCTACATGTAACACAAGATTCGATCGAGAGCACTATAAATAGGACGTCACCTACACAGACGCTCTATCTCACCTCGAGACTCGAGAGCCAGTCCAGTCGCAAGGAAACCCTAGCTAGCAATAGCAAGGCTAACCAGCTGACAGGGAGAGCTCGATCTCTTGCGCTAAGGTAACTTGTGCAATCGTGAGAGCTGAGATGACCATGGCTTCGTCCACGACGACCGGCCATTGCATGTTCCTTGTCCTTCTCCTGCTTCTCTCTTCTGCGGCCTATGGCCAGCTCTCGACGTCGTTCTACGACGCCAGCTGCCCGTCGCTGCAGTCCACTGTGCGCTCCGTCGTGTCCAGTGCCATCAACAGCACCCCCCGGATGGGCGCCTCCCTGCTCCGCCTCTTCTTCCACGACTGCTTCGTCCAGGTACAAACGGTGACGGTGATGGTATTGCTGAATCCCATAATAATGTACGTACTTATTCTGTATGTTGACGCTTGGTACACGTACGTACGTAATGCATCAGGGCTGCGACGCCTCGATTCTTCTGGACGACGTGCCGGGCAGCTTCGTCGGCGAGAAAAACGCTGGCCCCAATGCCAACTCCGTCCTCGGCTACGACGTCATCAACAACATTAAGACGGCCGTCGAGGCCAACTGCCCCGGCATCGTCTCCTGCGCCGACATCGTCGCCCTCGCCGTGCGGGACGGCGTCAACCTGGTCAGTCATCTGCGAACCAAGCAACCTGCGCCTGTTGGCTGCAGCAGCTGTTTTGTTTGCCTGCATCATGTCGATCGGCTGTTGATTGCATGCAGCTCGGTGGACCAACCTGGAACGTGTCTCTCGGCCGGCGCGCCTCGACGACGGCGAGCCAGAGCCAAGCGAACAGCGACCTCCCCTCGCCGGCGTCCAGCCTCACCACGCTCATCGCGGTGTTCGCGAACAAGGGCCTGAGCGCGACGGACATGACGGCGCTCTCCGGCGCGCACAGCATCGGCTTCGCGCAGTGCAAGAACTACCGTAGCCACATCTACAACGACACCAACATCAACAAGCAGTTCGTCAATACGCTCAGGAGCAACTGCTCGGCCACGCCGGGCGCAAGCGACACCAACCTCGCGCCGCTCGACACGACGACGCAGCTCACCTTCGACAACGCCTACTTCGGGAACCTGGTCAAGAAGAAGGGCCTGCTGCACTTGGAACAGGAGCTCTTCAACGGCGGCTCGCAGGACGCGCTGGTGCAGCAGTACAGCACCAGCCCGACGCTCTTCGCCTCAGACTTCGTCACCGCTATGATCAAGATGGGGAACATCAGCCCGCTCACCGGAACCGCCGGCCAGATCAGGGCCAACTGCGGGAAGGTTAACTAACAAGAGCTGATTGTTCTAACAAGAGCTGATTGTTGCTGGCCACCAATTGATCGTCATAGACTCACAGTCTGAGGGACATATGCACGCTAGCTGTTCGTTCATGAAAAAGGCACTCCATGATTAATGTAATGTAATACACGGGTCGAAGAAATGGGTATCCCACTCCCATTTCTAGTAATAAAAATCTGTACTAAATATTGTTTGAGTTTCAAATTGATCAACTCGAACAAATTTAGAGAAAACTGGTCTAGGCTGGTTTCCAAATCGCTAATGCTAGGAAGCAGACATCCAGCCGGCCGGACGCACCGTTGGTGGGCCACGCGACTCTCCCCGCTCCTCCGTTTCTAAATAAAAAAATCAGCCCACGTATTCGTTCCTATCCGCTCACTGCTTGCAATACGGGAAACACGTGATTTGCCAAGTGCAAAAATCTTTGCCGAGTGCCAAATTTCAGGCACTCGGCAAAGACCTGCTTTGTCGAGCGCCGCACTCGGCAAAATATGGCACTCGGTAAATAGGCATTTGTCGAGTGCCTGGCACTCGGCAAAGACCTGCACTCGGCAAAGACAGACACTCGGCAAAGATTGATAGGGGCCTAACGGCATCTAGCGGCGTCCTCTTTGCCGAGTGCCCCCCGTTTGGCACTCGGCAAAGAATTTATTTTGCCGAGTGCCAAAACTTGGCACTCTGGCAAGATTTTTTTTTTGTTTTTTGCCACCAAATTTTTTTGAAGCTTTAGTACACTACCACAAACAACATGTTTAAATTTGGGGCATTTTCATTGCATTTTGGCATACTTCTATAGTTTATTTTGTTTTATTGAATTTTTCCAGAAAATGTAAGTTTGAACTGCAGGTGCATCGAATAATGGGATTACATTCATTCAAAAAATGTTATCCTTGTTTCTTAGTGTAAATTTAGGCTAAATCCAGGAATTGTCTCGAAATTTCGATCAACGTGCTCACGGGGCAACGCCGCCAACTTGCATGGGAGTGGTTTTTTAATTGTATAAAATGCGAACGAATTCCGAAAATCATGAAACTTGTCGAGTTGTCGCCGTATCGTATGCGTATGCCGTGAAAAAAATTTGAAAAAGTTTCGAGCACGTTGTCACGTACGATGCTCACAAACCAGAACATCTCCACATGTGGCGAAAATTCGTTCGCATTTTATACAATTAAAAAATCACTCCCACGTAAGTTGGCGGCGTTGCCCCGTGAGCACGTTGATCGAAATTTCGAGACAGTTCCTGGATTTAGCCTAAATTTACACTAAGAAACAAGGATAACATTTTTTGAACGAATGTAATCCATTATTCGATGCACCTGCAGTTCAAACTTATATTTTCCGGAAAAATTCAACAAAACAAAATAAACTATAGAAATATGCCAAAAGGCAATGATAATGTCCCAAATTTAAACATGTTGTTTGTGGTAGTGTACTAAATCTTCAAAAAAAATTAGTGGCAACAAACAAAAAAAAATATTTTACCGAGTGCCTAGGGTTGGCACTCGGCAAAGTTATTACTTTGCCGAGTGCAGCCTAGCTGGCACTCGGCAAAGAGCTGCTGAATTTTTTTAAAACTTCGCCGAGTGCCAGATCACGACACTCGGCGAAGAAAATTGACTTTGCCGAGTGCCGCCGATCTGGCACTCGGCAAAGCCGCCCTTATCCCTTCACCCGCGCCCGGCCGACGCGCTCTCTCTCTCTCTCTCTCTTTCTCTCATTTCTCTCTCCTCTCACCTCTCTCTCTCCTCACCCACAAGACATCGCTGCCCAAGGCCCGCCCCTGCCACCAGCCAGACCTCCTCCCTCCTGGGGCCCTAGCGGCGCCTGTCCCCATCCGCCTCCCAGCACACACACCTCACGGCTGGCCCAAGCCCTGTCCCCGTCCCGTCCGCCTCCCAGCCTGAGTCCTCATGTCCCGCCCCACCCGACCTCCACCGCCCGCCTAGCCTCCACCGCCCCCGCCCACGCCGGCCCCCTTGGCGGCCACCTCCCCAGCCTACGCGCCCCCCTCAACGGCCACTGCATAAGAGAGGAGGAGGAGGCAGGGGAGAAGAGAGGAGAAGGGGAGAAGAGAGGAGGAGGGGAGAAGAGAGGAGGAGAAGGAGAAGGAGGGGAGAAGGAAGGTGTCGGCCTAGGCCCGTCGACCCTCACGCCGTTGCGGTCGTCCACGCCGTCGTCGCCGACCCTTGTTGTTGCCATTCTCGTCGCGAAGGTATGCCCTACACCTGTAGTAGTTAGTAGTAGTACTTAGTAGTGTTAGTAGTAGTTAGTAAGTAGTAGTAGTTAGTAGTTAGTAGTTAGTAGTGTTAGTAGTATTGTTAGTAGTAAGTAGTGATAGTAGTAGTGTTAGTAGTAGTAGTGTTAGTGTTAGTAGTTGTAGTGGTAGTAGTACTTGTTGTACTACTTCGATACTTTCATCTGCATGGAAAGAGAACTAAAGTACATGGCTCGTCTTGGTATATATATGTTTGTTGGCCTTCGTGCCTATGTTTGGTACATATGTGGTTGTTGGAGGTTTTGGAAACCTCCCTATGTAGGGGAGGTGCTGCCGAAATTTTCAATGGATTCTAACCTATTGCCTTTTTATGTAGGAGAAGGAGCCGTGGGAGGGACTCGGCGACCCCGATCGTCTTCGTCGTCTTTGCTGGTCTCGCTCACACACGCATCGCGCCTACGCCGTGACCGACACGCCACCGCCTGCCCCCGCTGCCCCGACTCCACCACCACCCTAGGTATAACCCCCTCCTCCTTTGCATGCATGTTTTATATGGTCACGTAGCTCAGTTAGGCATCTCCCGTTCGAAAGAGATACGGTCGGAGGTATACAGATCTTTGCATATCTGTGACCGTATCTCTTTCGGATTGTCCACGTATTTTGGATAGCCCGCGGATGCGTAGATGAGGTTAGTTTCCATGGTTTGCTCCTGTCCGAGACAGACTTTCGGCATCACCTCTCTGTTGTTCTCCGGATACACACTCTCCCTTGCAGGATGTGTATCGGGAGAATAGCGGGGAGGTGCTGCCGAAATTCTATCTCGGATAGGAGCGGAGCATTGAAACTGACCTCATCTACGCACCAAGGCCACGGGGAGGCGGCGATAGCGACAGCAGGGGGTTCCACTTGCACTGCCTCTAGCTCTACCTCGTCGGGAGTCTACTTGCGCGGGCCCTCGCAGCTCCCAGCATGGCCGATCCCACTTCACCGGCGCCCGGTGATTCGACCCAGCGGCGACAAGTAAGTATTATTTCACTACTATTTCATATGACATGTTGAAAATCGAACTGGAGACTAACAATTCTTCTTAATGACTCTTGCACAACTAGGAAGTTGTGTCCGGAACGGGCCGTCACATCAATGGCACCCTAGGCCTTCTGATTCGGCAGCACTACCCTGGCATGGTCACCTACGCCTCGGTGACTTCACCGCCCTGGATGTGGGACCACTTCTACGTCGCCGAGGACAACAAGTTCGGCACTGTTGCGGCGCGGATCAAGGCCGAGTTTTGGGTGAGTCTTCATCGCACTAAATTGGTCAATACTACGCATTCTTGGTCGTTCTTGAAATAATGAAACGATACATGATGTCTGTATGTAGTACTTCTTCAGGTAAGACGAAGGGTTTGAGGACCGGGCGGCGCGAGTGCAGGACAAGGTCTGTAGGTCCCGACACTCGGACCTATACCACGAGACGCGGCTCCAGTGCATCATCAACTACAGCACCGACGTCCTTGGTCAGGTGGTGAGGAAGGCTGATGCCAGGACCAGGACGCTCACCAAGGAGCAGTACCTCTTGGTAAGTAAGAAACATTAATACTGACTCCTTCCATGAAGAATAGGTAGGCTTCATTTCATCTTCTGACATATCAATAACTTGATGGCATGCAGCAATGTCCTGATTGGTGCGCCAGGCACCGCCTCTGCTAGGAGGCCATTGTGGACAGGTGGCTCTCGGAGGAGTGGGTGGAGAAGCACAACATCCGTCGGGACTGCCACCTACAGATGGGTGGGGCGCCACACCACCAAGGCAACCAGAGCCTCAGCGCGTACGCCTAGACATGTTTAATCTTCTTTGTGTTTTTATCTTTATTTATTTATTCTAACGCTCAATTCTCATTACTTGTAATCATCTTTGTGTTTTCCTCGCAGTCCCAGGCGCACCAAGGCCAGGAATGCAATGAGTTCATGGCATACGCCCTGGCACACAAGGGCAAGGCGATGGCCCCGGAAGTCACCTACAACCCGGCGGATCGGCCCGAGGCGTACACCAACGCAAGCGTCCACAACAAGCTTAGCGAGTACACCTCGACGGCCCACGAGCGCCATGGGGAGGACTTCGATCCGGCCACCCAGCCCCTAGACACAGACCTCCTAATGAGGCTGGGAGGAGGGAAGCAGCACGGCTAGTACTGGATGGCGGACAGCACAGTCGACTCCGCCTCTGTTCCCATCCTCGCTGAGATTTGAGCAAGGAGCACAAGCTCCTCCCTTCCCATATGCTCTCGGCAGCAGAGCTCACAGCAGCAGATGGCGGAACTCCAGGTTAGTACTATTTTATTCATCGTTCATTGCTTTTACACATCTACCTTGCCTTTGCATTGTTTAAACATTGAGGGTGGAATGTTGTAGGCCGACTTGCGGAGGTTGGAGGCCCAACAGGTGGCCCAGGCGAAGGCCCATCGACTAGAGATGGAGGCTGTACAAGCCCAAAGGGCGGCCAAGGCGCAGAGGCTGCAGGACATGTTCAGCTTCATGGCGAGCCTTCAGGCCTTGCCAGGTGTGGTCGTGCCCCAGTCGTTGCTCGCTCTAGTTGTGGCTCCTCCTCCTCCTCCTCCTGTAGGGACTCTGGTGAGTATATATGGTTGTTTATTCCTTTAGCTTGTGCGGCCCTCCTGTAGATACTCATGAATTTGCTTCTCCTTTGTGCAGCCACAGTCGGTGGGTTCGAACCCGACTCCTCAAGGTGGCCCTTCTCCACAGTCTGGGTGGCCAAC